CGTCGAATCTTGTTACCATGCAGTAACGATTAAAAAATAACTATAATAACATTCTTTATCTTTAAATTAAATATTAAGAAAAATTGTATATGTGTAAACCATGTAGCGCGAATATAGTTCCCAAGTTTGTATAATAATTTGCAGAAATTATTAAGTTTATAATATTTATGAAAAATCATCGGAACTTTGTGTTTTTAATACTAGACTTTTTTCAAAAACATTGTTTCTAAAAAACCGAATACTCTCAAATTTATATATTTTACACATTTCATATTTTCAAATATAACAAATATTATAAAAACGTTTTAAAAGTATGTATTATTGCTGCGCGGGACAGTTTAAATTATTATAACTATTATTATCATTAATAGTAATAATTAACATAGATACTTTAGTGGATAAAAATGTTCATCATAAAATTTATTCTTAATCAAATCTTGGCCAAATTAGTATTTTCAATAGACATAAAATATAAACTATAATTTTAAATGGTTTTTTTTAATAAATACTATTGAAAAGAAATCTGTAATTTCCTTATTTAACATAACGAAATGTGTTCTTGTTGAAAGTTTTCCATTCTTTATCCCCCGTTAGATTATTCATCATAATATAGTAGATACAATTTTTTAAGTAAAATCGTAAATAATATTTGAAAATCCATATGGTAATTAGGTATAACTTGTATTGAGGTGTGGTTCTAGTGAAAAAAAAAATTTGGTAATACATCAGTATTGTCGCATTTGATTCGTGATGGCAGCAAAAGGTACGTTTTGGAAAACGTTACTTGTTGATTTATGATCAGTCCTATTATGATAGGCCATTAAATCTGTAATACAGTAATATTTTTTAAGCGTTTCTATACAAAATACACAAAGACACTTTCGTAGAATACTAAAATTTCGGTTCACCAATTACTTTTGGCAGTGTTTCGCGTGTATTCCGAAGTTGAAATTTGATTTGAAAAAGTTTGCTCGTACCCTGCATTTTATGTTCGACGGTCTTTAGTAATATAATCGCACGCACCTAAAGAACGATTGCCAGCCACAAGAACTTTGCAAGTATAGTAACATTATATAAAATTAGGACAAACTGTGTGGGATCGCTCGAAAGTTTGTCACGAACTCAATGGCAACACTATCTACCCTATTTAGCCTGTACAACACCAAAGCGCCCGTAGTACTAAGTATCATTTTAATAATAAGTTTATATAATACTATATGTAGTATATAAATCACACGGTATCAATATTATTTTGATGTTATGTACTGGTTTGCAAATCGTTTGAGACGGCAGAATAATGCGAATCAACCGGAAAACCTATGTCTATACATCTTATGCTCGGCGATAATGTTAAGAGGGTCGAAATAGAAAACAAATTTATACCCCGTTTTGGATATTTCACGGCCATTACGTTCGGCTTATCGCCTAGGTCGACCCGCGAGGAAAGAAACACAATTTTATTATTACTCGAACTTTCGCGGGTCGTTACTCGTTAGATTTACAAGACGCCTGTCTATGTTTGTGTATAATATCAGCATATTCGTGTGGTCTGAGAGTTCGACGTGTCCGAGATAAAGGCCACAATAATAATAATATACATCTAGCTCGTGCATCGGCTTTAGTTTTTATTTTGGGCTCGGCGATGGTTTATTAAAGGAATATTTGAAGTGTTTAAGACGTTTAAAACGAATTTTCGCTTTACAGTTATTATATTTTAATTGATAATTTCGATGCAAACAACTGTTAATCTTATACCGCACTTAAACGTCCGACTTGACGTCATTCCTCTTTCCCATAATGACGATAGAAAATATTATTTTTAATTAACATTATTGTGATGGAATACTATGCACTAATATATATATATATATAGTATAGTGTAATACGAGTGGAATTGGTATAAGTATAAATTTGAATAATTGTGTTACTGGCAAGATGTGACGTTTATTACTTATTAGTACTACCGTGGAGTAGACATTTTTACTCAATTAGCACTCAATTTAGCTATTTGTTTCTTAGAGAAAAATAAACGTATAAAACCTTACGAATATTATTAAAACTAAATTTCCCACTACCAGCGGAGAAATTTAATTAATGGTAGTATTTAAGGTAAGTGGTCGTACCGGAGTTGGTTAGAGGTATATATTAATTAAGTTAATTGGTAAGTTTATGACATTTGCACAAATAGGTTATGAGTAATCACCATATCTGTTTTGGCGATCCCACAAGCGTTCAATTGGAAAACCGCTAGATACTGATAATGTAACAATTACAATAATATGATGCAATATTACTTTGGAAATTTCGCGGAACCAAATATAATTTGGAAACTATCAAAAACAAACCGAGGACCGCGTACCCCTCAGCTATGCTTTTACCGGGTCGCATTATACCGTCTAGAACATCTGGCGAACTTTATTTAAATTCAACACGACCCGAGTAAATATAGTGAAACGTTATTAGCATATTAGCAATATTTTCGTTGAAAAACAAAATCCGCCGTACAATCGGTGTCATCTGCTTGGGAAAACCGATGGTGCAATGCACAGGTCTACTGAGTGCAAAATTTTGGGGTGAATGAATCACATATAGCAATAGAAAACTGATGTAAGCCTACACGTTTTCTACAAATATTGTTAACAATAAATTCATAGTTTTCATAATTGAGATTGCGTACAAATGTATTAAACCCGCATAGTATTATATAAATTTTCTATATTTTTTCTGTACAACTAAAAAAAAAAACACTTACACATCAGAGTGGACAACTGACTCACAAGCGCATTATCAAGAATTGCTATGCTTTGAGTCCAGCAGCGTTATTGACAACATGTTCTGTAAAGGTGCCAATAGCCGATCAGTTCTGAATGACAGTCTTATGGATTGACAACCAAAACTGACCATTCATGAGTATGAATGATAATAATTGGCAATCAATTTTTTTGATTGATGGATATAAAACTTGTTTGAAGTTTTTTATTCAATCAAGATGATTGACGTTCAAGAGTCAAGACTGACCATATATTCAGTTGAATGTTTAATTTTGTCGGTCAAAAAGTGAGAAGAAATGGTATGTTGTGTTTTAAAACACAAAGTGTCGCTCAATAAACTAATTAATGAAGATTCTGTTCACGGTTTTATACATTTGTATAGAATTTACTAGCTGTGCTGATAGTGAGGTTTATAAGAATAGGATACCAAAGCGAGATGCACATGACTAATAAACGGAATTTTAACAAAAAGAAAAACAATACATTTAGATCTAACTCTTTCCTTATACAAGTGTATTCTTTCTGTAAAACCATCTTTAAAAACTCGAAAAGTGTCGCATAGCCTATACAAAGATAAATTATAGATAATCAGATGGCGATGACAATTTAAATTCTTTAAGGAGATTATATAGGGGAAATATTTGTCTTTTATTGGACTATTTTTTCATTAAAAATTTTTTCTTTTTTATCACAGACAAGATATATTGCAAATGGCAATAATTGCTTCTTCGCACAAACGAATTACTATTACCGTAAATAGGTTTTAAATTGATTCAAGTTTTTTTATAAATCATGAAAATAACACTACACACTGTACATAAAATAAAAATATTTGTTTTTACTTATTGCGCAAAAAAAATGATAATTGACCGTGTATGGAAATCATCAATCATCGATTCGACTGCCAATCTATTAAGACTGTCATTCAAGATTGATCGTGTACGGTTTAATGATTATTTGTTTATAACCAGTAATAATATATTTAATTTATGATAAATAATATCAGTTATTGGATTGATCACATTACGATTTGTGCAGTGTGATTAACCGCAAATGTAATATTATTTACATTGCTGCACTATATATATGGACACGGTGGTTCTTGAAATTATGATAACAGCAGTTGTTCGCTCTCTTCTTATATAGGCTCTTTACTCCGCGACATCAATAAAATCCAATGTCTAAGTACAAAATGTGTTGGACAAATTGAGTTTTGATTAGTTTGGCGAATAATCGAACGCACCACCGTCCGAAAATAAAGTTTTCGATGGTTGGATGAGGGCAAGCTACGTTTCTGTATTAACTCCTGGAAAGCGTCCGGTCTGAATCATTGAGTCGTACATTTGTACAATATAATAATAATATAGTACATACAGTACGGCCATGAGAAACTCTAGGCGTGAAAGTTTTTCACCAAAGTTAATTCCCACACAAACAATATCCCAACTGAAGTCTTTGGTGTACAGATATTACACATAATATAGATCCACCCTACAAGAACTTTTGGTTTCAACCGCAATCGGCCACGCATATCGCAAATATTAAGTACCCACAGTGTGACCACAAGTAAATTATTTTGTTTTTTTAACCAGTAACTTCATCGATGTTTTAGCTAAAGAAAGATAGTAAAGAAAGATATTTACTTAATTATCAAAATATATATATTTATATTATCTGTTCCAAAAAGTACTGAAGAACAATAATTAGATTTCAGTTTTGCGGGGTAAATACATTTGATGAGTTTGATTTCTCCAGGTATTTAGTAAATAATTGTGGCGACGCTGATCATGAAAATTGTTTGTTATCACTTATTAACTTGTTGATATATTTTATCACTCGGGACTATAATTATGATAGAATGTCATTAAAATTTAATTTTTAAATAGACAATTTTTTTTTTTAGCACGCTTTGGCTACAAAAAGACTATGTGTGCTTTAATATGAAATACAGGTAGTATAAGAAACTCTGTAATATTATTACTCTAAAAAGCAGTAAAATTGGTTATGACGTTTTTGGCGTTATAGCGCAAAAAGGTACAGTGTTAAATCACATGTTCAATTTCGAGTTCAGTGATCTCATTAGGTACCTACTATATTTTGTCTTGCGTTCAATGAATAATTCATTACAATATAATATATTGAGCATACCCAAAGAACAAAGTTGCTATATTTTATAAAAAAAAAAATATATATTATTACTTTATTACAAATAGGTTTTTATTTTTTCAGGTGGAACCCCGTGTTCACATGACGTTAGAAATTGGCATTATTTCTTAATACTACAATGTGAGTACAAAATGTATTGACTATTACAATAAGCATTTGGCGTTTTAGTTTAAATCCACGAAATTCGGTTGTCGTTTTTTCCCTAAACTCTGCAAAATAATGAAAAAATAAAGAGACATTGTACAGAGTAAATTTAATTTTTCAAAAACAAACTGTTATTTATTATGAGCGTCTGAACTGTACTCAGAAGATTGCTAGGAACATATACGCTTGTGTTAATCACCTGCGTATCGTTCATCAAGTATACATATAGCCGTTTTTTTTTTTAGTAATTGATTATAAAAAACCAAGACCTTTTAATAACGCGTTTAGTCGGCATGTTTGTTTTTTTTCGACAATCGAGAACAATAGAAAAATAAACACTTCTTATCTGCCGGAAATACTTGAGTGCTAACACCTGGCAATAAATACATTTTGACCGACTTGACTAATTGAACGGTTAACGATGAACGGCCATACGGAACTTTATAGTTCTTGCGATTTTCGATTTCGTTGTGTTTGCTTTGAGTGCGGAAACACTTAATGAATCAAATTGCCTTTTAATGGTTTCACGACAAAGGTCGGCGAGATACATCCGAAAATAAAAGTTATTTGATCAAATTGATGTTGAGTCTTCCGGCTGAAGTCAGTGGACCGGAAATATGAAATTTACTACATCTCCTCTTATTCATTGGCTTATAATCTAATAATATAAACGGAATTTAGCAAATCCCTCGACTTTTGATAACGAAACGAAACGTTTATCAAAAGTGTGTGATTTATTTTAACATGGATATGTTATTGGGCTGTATAAAAGACATTTTAATGTCACTATTTTCGCTTTAAGTTAGAGATAAGTGATAGGAGACAAAATATAAGAGATAAATTTTAAGTGATAAGTAATAATAAATAACATACGCATGGTTCAATGTTTTTTCGTGCAAAAAAAAGTAAATAACTAGGTTTTCTTACCACTCCTTCCGTGTCAAAATAATTGCTTTGTTTACTCATCGATTTTGACGACAAATAACTACAAACAATTTTTATTTTATACTCGTGCCAACGATATAATCCTTGGGCTAGTTGAAAAAATAATGGCATTGTTGATCGCCATATAGAGTCGTCATTATGTTAAAACACTTTTTTACCAATACAATTTTTTACTAAAAAAATATACATGACAAGTACCGTAAAAATATAGAGGTCTAAAAAGCCATATAGTCGTATTGATTTTTATAAAATAAGAATATTGTTATCATTAAATGTCAACACTTTTTTTTTGGTGAAAATATATAATTTGATCTTTCTTGACAGCTGAATGAGTTTTCCGTGTAGTGCCACCTAACCTTAAAGCAGATCAAACTCCAGTTTTATTTCTAACGTAAAAATATAATATCTTCTATCGAAATTATTTTCATTTATTTTTATGTCAATATACTACTAATAGTACACAATGTTGTACTAGGCAACATTACAAATAAAAAAATCATTGTTTCAAAATACTAAGATTAAACAACCTAATTATAAAATAATTGACATTTTTTCCATGACACATTTCAAGAAAATATTATTAAGATGTATTACCACTGTTTGCGATGAGACTTCAATTGATGTTCTACATATAAACAACGATCCCGAGCCAACAATCGTTTAAATTATAGGTATAGATTGTTCTACTCTACACTTTTGGTAGGTATCCTTTTATGCGTTTCAGTGGAAATCATACTACAAAATTATAACTAGGACAATGTGCGGCAACAAGACATCGCATGTTGCTTGATTATTCAGCCAGGCCGAAAGAAAAACTTAAATGTAAAATAATGAGACACAGTTTATTTGTTTTGTAAAAAGTTTGAATTTTTAGTCGTTAATCATGCGGACGTTGGTAATAATTAAAGGCGGTGCTTTGTCTTTTGTACATGAGGTAATACATGCCTGACTATTTTGAGTATAAGACCAAGCAAATAACTATTAGGACAAACGCCATTAAGCTTAAAATAATATTTAAACACGAAGGGGTTTTAAAATAACAAATAGTTTTCAACGAACCAACTTTTACTAACCGCATACTAGCGCTTGTTTAGCTTGAGACATTATACTAATTTACACCGGATCACTTACAAGTTATTACGCATTATTATATACCGTAATTAATCATAATAATAACAACCATTATAATATGACCAAATACTAAATAATTAATTACTTAATAATATATAGTCTCGGAGCTCCGCGGTAAGCCAAACGAAAGTCTATAGCTGCAACGTTAACTTTATTAGTACTTGAAACGTTATAGTAAACAAAACGACCTTTTATAATAATGCCATCAATAAAACTCTGGAGGGAAAAACTTTTAAGTTAATTAACTTACAATTTAAAGGGAAATACAATTTAGCATAATCAGCTAGGATTTTATTCAAAAGCTGGTTAAAAACCTTTAAAAGTTTACTAGATAATATGATCATAATATAAATTGTATTTTTATAATGACACAAGATTCATTAATTCAAGATTTATAATACTTTTAACTAGAACTGCTGGACCCAAATACATCTTATTTATCTAAAACCTTATTTCAATTATTTTATTTTACAGAACGTTTACTATTCACAAAATCGAGTAACTTTGCCCGCCCAACTTAGTTACCTACAACCTATCTTCATGTTAACATAAAACAAATAAATTAAGACAATTAATTAATATAATATTATTTTTAAACGCAACTAATCAACCATGTCTACATATAACATTTATACGAAGAGATAATTATATTTTTGTATGGATATTTTTCGAAATATGTTTTATAAATATTTTGTATAATGTATTATACATTTTTTAAAACAATTTTACATGTTATTATGTTTTTGGTTGTATAAAACGTTTAAGTTTTATAATTGAACATTAAAAACGTTTTAAAAATGCTTATTGGGAACTTTGAGAAACCTTGGAAACTTTTATTAGGAAATAATATAATATCGATCAATGTAATATTAAAAAAATATTGCATTGATAACAACTGAGACGCAATTATTGGTGTTTCTGTTTTTTAAGACTAATTATTAGAAATATCCGTTTTTACAATAATTGTGAACGCAATTATGAACTACGTCTTCCGGGCAAGTTGTTTTTTTAGACACGGCAATTGTTTTGTTTGTAACTGTAAATATTTTTTTTTGTCTTTTGAAAACTGCTGACATTTTATATTTTCTTTGAAAACACCCATCTGCCGTGATCATAAACATTTTACTTTTGTAAAAGTACATAATACCCCACCCGCAATAACGTATTCCTGGGAGTTTTCTTATTGCCAATACAATACACAAACCCAGCTTTTGCTGACGACGCTCCGCGTTTCGTCTCATTTCCATCCGAGCAATAGCTATAGCAGGTACCCCTTTAGAACATATTGTTATATAGAGTAATAATCATGATAATATCCGCTATAAGTTTCTAGCTGCTGGAAACTGTTTGCTTCATCGTTTAACTGAATGAAACCCGAGTCTTAGGGCAGACATTTAATATTACAATATTATTTTACGGTAAATAGTGTATTATGTACTTTATATACAACACAAACACAGAACAAACAACAATTAATTGCGAAAATAAAAGGGATATTATTAAATTCGCTTATCGTATGAAAGTTTGATAGGTAAAGTTATTTTGTTTTAGTTTTAAAAGTAGAAGCCAACAAGTATAATCATTTCATACCTATCTATAACGCAACGATTGATAACAATTATTGATATAAACTAAAAAATGGTTTGTTTTTTATTATTATTAATACTGTACTTCTATGTAATTTTATCTGATTTATAAAAGGTGCCATACAAGTGTTGTGTATAAAAAATTTTTTTAAAAAGAACTAACATGAATTACAAAACGATTAGTATTTTTCAAAATCATAATTTTATATTTTCATATGTTGATGACTAAAAGGGTACAAGTAACAATTATATTTAAAAAAAAACTTTTCGACCATATCGTATTTGTCGATGAAAACTTTTTCTCTCTGTATTCATTTTACAGTAATCCGACAATTTTCTAAGAGATATTGAAAATCCTAATGGACATCATTCACGGGAATATATCGGTAAATATGATATATATATATATATATTTATTCATATATATTTTTCTTTTCTGGAAATGTTTACTTACAAAATCATTTTTAATATCCTCTAAATTTTCAAATACGAATATTTTATAAAACATACTTGTCGATCCTCGATGTCTGTCGTTCGTGGAAATAATTGAATAATTGTCTAAAAAATGTCATTGCTAGTTGCTACAAAGGTGAAAATCCGCCTATGTTTTGCCTCTGAATAAATAATTTTGCCCCTTTCTGTTTCGCCGTGAACTCTGTCGGATGTTCTCCAATTCATCCGAACGAACACTAATTTTGCCTTTTGACGTTTTACCGCCATATCAGCGGCAATTGTGTGAAAGAGCTCTTTTAAATTTTTATAACAGCGCAGCTCCAACACAACCGCATGGGTTGGGTCCTAACCGATCCGATGTACGTTGTCATCGCTCTTCGGTGTATCAATATTTGTCAGACCCGCCTCGAGGTAGTATTTTGGTATACACAATAGGATATTTAGTGTAGGCGTACGGTCGGGTAAGCCGGATTTCCTATCAAAATCCCGAAAACCTTTTTTTAAAATTTTGTTTGAAACGTGAAACCGCCGTGATTAAGAGCCGATTCGAGTAGATCCCGACAAGTCTGTCTTGACTGATAAAATATTACTATAAATTTTCATCTGCAATAATATATTTGTTCAAATTTGTCTTAGCATAATTTTTGGGAATCGAACTGAAACGAAATTTAGCTAACACGAAAGAACTCAGTCAACCGATTAACGCGTTTCGTGTAATATTTTTGACTGCGCCTTAACCGAAGGTGCCAGAAGGAAAAGTATTATTATTCGTTAGGGGTAAAATATTTGCAATGTAAACGTTGAGTGAGTTGTGAAGGCTTCGTACAACCTACAGCCTTCTATTATATTTTTACAATGTTT